TCTTTTATATATATAGAAAATATCGACATTATTTGTTCGAACGTAATACCATACATATATATAAAAAACGGATAGATAATAATAATTATTATTATTATTATAAATAACGAATAAATTCTAATATTGATTAAATTGATATGATATTATTCATATAATACGATGATTAATAAATAAACATATAATATATATTTATTATCTAATATTAATACGAACAAAATTATTCGTATCTATCCATCCATCCATCTATCTATCTATCTATACAGATAGATATATAGATCTATATCTTATCTATACAGATAAATTTATAGATAGACAATATCTATTATTATTAAATAATGTATTATTATCTCGAATTAAGAAGACTACCAACTTCACAGGGTCCAAATCAGATGCCAATGTCTATGTACATCCTTCTAGCAGGATTAGCAGGATTAGCTGTTCTCAGCATCGTATTAATGTTTTATGTACAACGTAAAGCGTCACGACGGCAACGGCACGACATTGAGGAACCAGAAACGGAAATACAAGAAGAGGATAAATCAACATTATTGGGTACTGATAATCACGAGATTGAGGATAAGGATTAATCAAAGGAATAAATCAATGAAACCCGAAGATATTGATCCTTTACCTCGCGACTGAATTTTTCCAATAATTTTTTAATGGACGCCCATTTATTGACTCTAAGACGCACACATTACGACGATGACGATTTTAACTGATGAGAAAATAATAAGAGAGAGTGTGAGAGAATGAGAGAAAAAAAGAGAGAGAGAGAGAGTAAGAGAGAAAATATAGATTTTCTATAACTATGTATGTCTACCACCTTTAGGATATTATTTTCACATTGCGAATGTTAAATTTGAATTCTTTTTAATATCTTTTTCTTTTATACACAAAACGATTCGCATAACTTTAAAAAATATTTGGAAAATTACGTGTGTAAGATGAAAACATTCGTCGAATATCATTTCAAATCGTATTTGATTCATTGATTGTTCGAATCTATTAATTGTAAGACAAAAATGTATTTTATTGTTATAAACATTATCAAATAGAAAGAAATTTCGTTGGTATTAATATTATACAGTAAAATCTTTCACACGTTTTTTGTTTTTTTAAACTTGAAATTTATTATTCTTTCTATCTGCGAGATGAAAACAAACAAACAAACAAAAAAAACATATGTACGATATTTTGTTCGTTCGAAAGAAAGTTGAGTTTGTTAAAATTTATTAAAATGTTTACGAGTACGAGGAAAAAGTTGGACCCTTTTTTTCTTTTTTTTTTTCTAAATCGTGTAATATAATATGTCGTTGGATAAATAATATGTCTAAAAATGATTTCAAATTTATCGAATAAATCGCGAATCATCATCCTGTATTAGTTTAATATTCGTTTCGTTGGATATTATCTCGAATACGATATTGTTGTAATACTTTTTCCGATATATTTTATGAAATAATATTACTACCATTTTTTAATTTCCAACGGAACGAAAAAAACGTAAGCAAGTATATATGTACACGTATGCTTACCTATATGTGTATGTGTGTGTGCGTGTGTACGTACGATTAGCGGATAGATCATATGATTCCGTACAAAAAATAATGTTCGATGTGTTTTTCGAGAATAAAAAGTAATCAAGATAATGAGATGATTAAAAAAGGGCGAACGGTAAAAAATAAAAAGATTTAAAAAAAAAAAAATGAATAATAAAAATACAAAAAATAAATGAATAAAAAAAGAAAAAGAAAGAAAGAAAGAGAGGAAGTGAATAGGTGTGTGTGTGAGAGAGAGAAAGAAAGAGATTAAAAAATGTCATAAGTAACACAATAATGCAGTAGCAAAATGAAAAAGACGGTTATAGTTTCTATTTTGAAGATTGTATTTTTTTAAAACTCTTTATTCATTTCGACTTCCACATAACGCGCACTTATTTATATCTATGCGAATTAGGTGCGCTATATGTGTGTGTGTGTGTGTGTATGTGTGTATGCGTTTACCATACGTAAGAACGAAAGAATTTGTGTATGACTTGTATGTATGTATGTATATCTGTTGTTGTTATGTTAAACGTATGCGTGGGTGGTGAATTAAATGACGCCCACATAATTTGCGTATCTTCAAACAGGATGTGTATCGTAAAATAATTTTTCTTTGCCTCCTACGAATCTTTCGCCAGATTTTTTACGCGTTTTATAATCAACGAACGAACGAACGAACGAACGAACGGATCGGAACGGAATGGAACGAAATAATACAATGCGAATAAAAAACACATAAATATACCAACAAAAGCCATAGATATACGTATTTATCGAAACACTTATAGGAATTTTATGCGAAATGTTTCGCAAGGGGCAGATGAAATATTTGTTCTTATGATATTAGTGTGGGTATTTTTTTTCTTTTTTCTTTTTCTTTTTTTTTTTTTTCAATACCGAAAGTCAGTCATCATCGTTTTACTAAAACTCGTTACTTCGTATATATGTATAACAATAGGGTGCTTCATACACAT